CTCTAAAAAGTATAATATTAATAAGGCCTCTCCTCCCACTTGAGGAATAATGCATTATAGAAGGGAAGACTAGCAGGTACATAAAAACTTCAGAGTATGAATTTATTTTTTTCAGATTTTCATTTTTCCTGTTTTGAGGAATGTGTTCAGTAGTAGGAAGTGCCTTCAGCTCTAAGTAGGAAGGGTGATTCAGAGGGAAACGTGCTCCCTCTGGCATGGGTCATCAGGGAGGACTACAGTGGAAAAATCAGGATTTCAGGGAGACCTGGAAAAGAAGGTAAGATTATAACAGGACTAGAGAAGCTCAAAGGGGTATTCTGGGTGCAGAGAACAGTAAAGGGGGAGAAAAGTCCAAAAGTTGAAGGAGGGCTGCATCTGCTTAAATCACATGTTGGAAATCAGCATCTGAGAGGATGAAACTGGTAGCAATGAAATAAAACCAGAAGGTTGGGAGCCTGTCAGGCAACCTTAAATGCTGAGTGGTCTGGATCTTCTACAATAGTATGGCACCAAGGAAGGTTTTGGGAGCAGGTAACAGACTCAAGACAGTGCTTATGGATATCCACTTAGCAGTGGTTGGCACAAGAGACTGGAAGGATGTTAGGAGAGAACTTTCATAACCCTTATGAGACGCTGGCAGAGCCTAAATTATGATGAATGTAAAATGGTGGGTAGGAAGGACATTTCTATGAAATCTCTTTGGGCTTCAAACTAAGGAAACATTTTAAACACAGGATACTCCAAGCAATTTAAATACCTAATGTCCAGAAACAGGAATTTAATAATGCATTGTCTTAAATCATTGTTAGACTCATTGACTATCAGAGCTGGAAGGAAACTTGATGATCTAGTCTAACCTAATTTTATAGGTAAGTTATGTGCGTTCAAAGAATTAAGTAATTTGTCAAAAGTTGCAAAGGTAGTGAATGCCTGTGAGAAGATACTATAACTCAGTTTCCTTAACCCAAGGATACCTACCAACCCCCCCCCCCACACCCTTAGTAAAGTGTGTGGTTTTAATTGTTACTTCACCAAAAGCATACTTTGAATCATTCTTTATTCTTTTCTTACACATTTCAGTCTCCTTAGCTATTCTTCCACAGTACTTGAAAACATGGTCTCCTTAGCTATTCTTCAGTCTCCTTAGCTATTCTTCCACAGTACTTGAAAACATGGTCCTCTCTACATGCTTTCACCCACTCCTTCAGCTACAATATCTTTATGTAAAAGTATCCAGATCTAAACCTCTCGTCCTGATCTTTCTCCTCATGCTAGATCTACACTGGACATCTCCATCGGAGTTCCGAAATAAAACATATTCTTTCCTCTGCTACTCCTTTTACATTCCCTAGTTGAATTGATGGATCATCCAGTTAACACAGGCTAGAAACTTTGGAATCACCTTTAATTCTAGCCTCTCTTAGCACTACCTTAAATGCCTCTTGAAGATACTATTTCCTTTCCATTTTACTGGCTCAGTCACAGCTGAGGACTACTACTGTACTTATATTCTAATTGGAGTCTCTGCCAATCATCTCTTCCACAACCAATCTGTTTTCACAGTGCCTTTCAATTACCTTCTTTAAATACACATTGGATCCTATCATAGTTCAAGCTCTCTTGACTTCTTACTTGAGTTAAACAGCCTCGCAACTGAGGAACTGTAAACGTTTTCTATAAAGGGCCAGATAATAAATATTTTAGACTTTGAGGACCATACTCAATTCTGCCATGGCAGTGCTATACATTATACATAAAGGATAATCATGGCTGTGTCCAATAAAACTTTACTTATGCATGTATAATTTTTATGTGTCATAAAACATTGTTTATCTTTTTTCCCCCCAACCCTTTAAAAATATAGAAAACATTGATAGCTCATGGACCATAAAAAAACAGATGATGTGCCAGATTTGGCCTATGGGCTGTAGCTGCCACCTCTGTCCTAACTGGCCTTCTTGTCTCCTACAACAACTCTCCAAGTTCACTCTCCACACGGCTGTCTGAGTCAGGATCCCAACCCAAAAAGTTGATCATGTTGGCAGCCCTGATTAAAGTACATCAAGAGTAACTCCAGAATATGGCCCACAAGACCCTTCCTCTGGTTCCTCTCCCCTTTCCAGGTTTATCTCTTGCCAAACACCTAATGTGACTGTAGAGTTTATATTCCCTCCCATCTTTATGTCTTTGCATATATTGTTCCCGCTACCTGGGGTATTCACCCCACCTTTCTCCACTCTCAGGACTCCTATTCATGAACTCAGAAAGCTTTCCCTATCACCTTCAGTGGCAATGTAGAATGAGCCAGTTCTCCTTTATATGTGCTCCTGTGGCAATCTTCACTTCTCTAATTACACTGTTATCACACTCTACTATAATTGCATATATAGATCTGGCTCCTTAGTAGAGTGTGAACAACCTAAGGGTAGGAACTGAGTTTTTTTCTCTCTCTATGTCCAGGGCCATCCAATGTACTTAAAAGATAGTAGGTGCTCAATAAATACTTGTTAAATAAGTGAATGTTATATTTACTAACTGGGCCCTTCAATAAATGAATTTCTATTTTCCATTTTTAAGTCCAATTAGACAATAAAGGGAAATTCCAAAAAAGTGACAGGTTATTTTTCTTTCAGATTGGCCTATGGATTTCTACCCCAGTTTTAATTGTCTTTGCCCTAGAAGATTTGAATCCTTATTTTATCATTACTTTATATCATCTTTTTCATATTTAATTTTAAACTTTGTTTAGAATATGCCACTCAAAATATTTAAATTCAGACTAAATGAAGCACTACCTGTGTGGGATTTATTTATTTCAGCTGGTTTACACTGAAAAAGAGAGACATGAAGTTTCCCAGTCACACACTTGAGTATATGAATCAATAAAGAATGGTGAGGGGAAGCAAACTCTAAAAAACCCCAAACTATATATCAGAAATATTTAGCCCAACAACCAAGTCACATTTTCAGTGCAAAAGAGAGATATACACAGTTCCTTCCATTTTTTATTGTCATCTTTAAATTTATGAATGTGGATTTTATAAAACATCAATATAGACTAAGTGTAAGATGCTTACAAAAGAGTATTACTTTTAGAAAATAGGTAATTAAGTTTTATTTTCTATAAGACTAAGTTAAATTTTGGTAGACTTGTTGTAAATAAAGCTCAATAGAAAAAGCTTTCTATGGAACCAAGCAAAACCGTTTTTCTTAAGAACAAAGGAATTAGTTACCACCAGTCCATTTTCAGCAGTTGCTGCATCTTAATATGCTTTACTTGCAAGAAATGGATCTTGTCAGACAGTACAAATTGATACTGCACAGGAAAGCTCTCTATGGACTTTGACTTAAGAAATTAACTCTCTGAATAAGACAGAATGGCAAAGGGGACAAAACCAGCATTAATATTTATTTATTGAAGCTCAGCCACACTGAGACATTAAAAGCTGTCCTATTTCTGTGGGTTAGTGGTACTTAGCACACAAATGATTGGTTCTCAATAGAAGTCTGACAGAGAAGAACGATTAACTATCATGATCAAGCTAAATTCCAAAACTTCTAAGATTAAATAACCATAGGAACTATGGTAACATTACATTCTCAGTTCTACAATGACAATACTCTAGATGGGCATGAAAAGAATGGTTACTATTCTGCAATATTAAGCAATTTTTTCTCATAAAACTGTTTCATCTCTTGGGATTTTTCCAGATATCACACATGTATAAATGATTTGTTTTCTTTCTTTCATTTTTTCCTTTCTCTCTTTCTCCTTCTTTCTTCTCTTTTTCTTTCATTGTTTAAAAAGGAAGTTGGCAAACCATTTGGAATATTACCATAACAAAATGTTTTTAACCAAGTTTGATTTTAACAGAACTAGAGGCATCTTAACACTAACCCAAAACTTTGGGAGGTTCACCAACCTCTAGAATATTTTTTTTCTCCAAATGCAGGCTGTTCAAGTGGTGCTTTTCTCCATCTGTTATCATACCGTGCTCAGAATTACATTGTCATATTTAATGTAAAAGGGATCAGTCCCCTTACATAGTTTAAATTCAACATATTACTATGATTAGAAGACCAGTGTTTTTCTAATTTATGAATAAACCAAATTTTATAAACTTACATGTCTATTTAGACAAAGTTCTCTCTAAAAACTGAAAAACTCTAAGAATTGAACAAACCCAAAGCCTTGATCTGAAAACTGAAAAATTGTACTAAAACTCAAAGGGAAAAAGGAACCCATTTATATGGTAATGTGACTTACCTACAATTTCAGTTTAAATTGTTCTCTGTGTATATTTATGTATGTGTGTGTGTGTTTTCAATACAGCAAATTGCCCAGTGTTTACTACCAAAAATGTCTTACTGTAATTTAGGGCTGAGCTACATGTTTACTAAAGTTTTATGACAATGATGATCACATCATAATATCTCATGATGGAAGCAATGTAATTTGAAATCATGATAGTGTAAGCATGGTTATAGTAATGGTTTAAACATGAACAGTGCTAATCAATTTCATCTCTAAATTTTACACCTCCTTAGGACTCAGGTTGCTTATTTTGTATCAGTTCCATCTCAGTTTGCATCTCAGAATGTCTTTTACTTTGTCTCTTTCACCACTGACAGTATCTGATTGTTTTCCTAAATATATTCCTCAGATACCTCAGTTCAACATTTTTATTAGACACAGAATTAACAGGAGAGTAGTGTAGTGGTAGAAGAAATATGTCATTTTGCTTATATTGATAGAGAATCACCTAAATATTTGAGCATTGTAGATGAAAGGTTTTGTAATATATCAGTAATTCCCTGCCACACTTATCATTCACATGTCTGGGTGTTTTGCTTACAACATCTCCACTTTTCTTAATATGCCTAAAAACTGTGTGTTAATTGAATGACTAAGACTTAACACTAACAACTGTTTGGAAGCCTGTGGCAAAAATCAGTGGAATGAAATTGGTGCTATGGTGCATAATGGGATTAGGCAGTACCTGGTGAGGTGCAGTTGGTGCTCAGATTTGCCCAGCAGTTCTGTCAGTTTCAGGCACTCCTCTCTGGCCCGGGTTGCCTTCTGCTGCTCCTGTTCCAAGTGCTGCTTGCTTTCACTCAGTTCTAAACTCAATTTCTCTATTTCCTTAGGTAGAGAGAAGAGGGAAAAAGCATCCTATAAAATATATGCACTTGAATTCAAAATTATCTCATTTTTATTTTTGCCATGAATTTTAATGTGATGAAAAATTATTAGAAAATTTAGGCTAGCTTCCATTTCATGACAAAGGGAACTAACACAGCCCAAACTGCACATTAGTGAGGATTTTTCAGATCGTAAGATTCAGTCTAATTTTAAAAATGAAATGATTAAATGAGAATAGTCAAAATGGATAATCTGCACTTTGAATCTAAGGCTCAGTCCCTTTAAAAAATAATACGAACTTAAAAAGTCACTATTTTTAAAATACAACATTTCTGTTTGTGAGATTAGATCAGACATGTGCAGTGATTTACATCAAACATGAGACTCTCTTTTTTAAAAGATACATTTATGGTTTCATTTGGATGTTTTGAAAACCAAATTAGATCGTAAAATAATTTAAGATATCTTTTAGAAAAATGTGAGGTGGAAAAGAAGGCATCATTATGATGCACAATATTATTTGGAAAACAATAATTTAGGAAAAAAATAAAGCATGAGAAGCTTCAAGTGTTTTGAATGTATGACATTTCTGAGCTAAAATAATATTGCATTATAATTGCATTTTAAAAAGGCAACAACAGTACTCTAAGATTAATAAACATCTAAAACATACGAAAATTTATGATAGTTTATTATTTGGTCTCAGTATGAAATTATCCTTTTTTTACTGAAATTCAAATATTTCAAAGCAAAAATATGTTACATAGAACATAGTTTAAATAATTTATACATTAAAGTACAAATATTTATTTATTATGGAACATCCATAATTTAAAAAAAAAGAAAATAGAAGGGATAAATATTCAGACTATTAAAACAAGAAAAACAAAAAAGGGGAAAGTAAAGGGTTGAAACGTTTTCAAATTCAGCAGAAAGCAAGAAGCAATTTTAATACACAAAAATGCAATCTACTCTTGGAAAACAAAACCATGTCTAAGTAGAGTTTTAAACTTGGTATTTAAGTACATTCTAATTTCCTCATGTCATTACTCAATATTCTGAACAATCTACAACTATATTTAATATATCAGGCAGGATAAACTAAATAATTTATTTTTCTACATTTATTACACTACAAATATTCAGTTTATCCCCATCAAAACTGTACATTACCAACAATATAATAAAACAACTTACTATAAGTTATTTATTTTTAAAAATCCTAAGTAATAATGAGTATATTGCTTTCATTCAGAGTAGATTTTCTGTATCTTTCAGATTAGGATACTAAGTGAAACTGATTTGTTTAAAATATTTTTAACCATTAAAGTTATATCAATATATTTCCATTCATAACTAAATATAAATAGATGGAAAAATATAATAGAAAAGTCTCCTAAATTCTGTCTAACATTTATGAAATTAACAAAAAAGCAAAGAAATATAGAATTGGAATTATACATTAATTTTAAAATTTCAAAAATTCATTCATTAATTTTTTTACACAGTGCTATATGCAAGAATCTATACTAAATATTATCGTGGACTCAGAGAGTTCCCATCTCTACACTCAGGACTTAACAATTCAGTTGAGTAAATGAGACATAAACACACAAAAAGACTATCAAAATACAAAGCATATAAAAAACAACAAATGAGATTTAGAGAAAATCTGTGCTTCAGTAGGCCAGATTAGGGATACACTAGCATGGGCAAGAAAAGTAGGAAAGAAGGTAAGGCCACATAAACTCATGCAATGATAGATTAGACCAATTATGAAACAACTTGAATTCTAGATTTATAAAGCTGTATTTTTCTTATAGAGAATGAGGAAAAAATGGTTTAAACAGGTATGCAATATGAGAGCAGAGCTTCAAAAAACTGGATCAATGTGTATGATCATTAAGATAGTAGAGACTGGCAGTAGGGAGACCACAAAAAGACAGGTGCAATACTCCAAACATGAGAAGCAGAGACACTTAAAACAGAAGTATAAAGAGAACATAATGAGTATATGTAAATATCAATAAAAGGAGAGCTATCAGGAGACAACAAAGAATTTTGAATTGAGAGGATACCAAAAAATGACAGAAATAGAAAATGTATAAAATTCCAAACTTTCTTCAAAAGAAAAGGTACAAGGACTTCCCTGGTGGTGCAGTGGTTAGGAGTCTGCCTGCGAATGTAGTGGACACAGGTTCGAGCCCTGGTCCTGGGGGATCCCACATGCCACGGAGCAGCTAAGCCTGTGCACCACAACTCCTGAGCCTGCACTCTAGAGCCCACAAGCCACAACTACTGAGCCCGCGTGCCACAACTACTGAAGCCAGAGCATCTAGAGCCCGTGCTCCGCAACAAGAGAAGCCACTGCAACGAGAAGCCTGCGCACCACAACAAAGAGTAGCTCCCACTCTCTGCAATTAGAGAAAGCCCGCGCACAGCAACGAAGATCCAATGCAGCCTAAAATAAAATAAATTTAATTAATTAAAATAAAAAAGAAAATGTGCAACAAGTTTTATAAGTATTTTCCAACAACAACAGCGTATGTAACCTTACATTGGTAATTAGGTTTTAAGCATAAAGCAGCTGCTTTCTTAATCTCACGTAATAAAAAGTCAGAGGACACACTGAAAGTCAGTCAAACACAGAGATAAAGAACATGGGCCCAAGAGTCAACACAAATCAGGGTTTCAGACACAGCTCTGGCACTTTCCAGCTCTGTGACCTTGGACAAGTGACAAAACTCTTATCAGTTTCTTCAGTCTAAAATGGGAGTGATAACTCTAGCAAGCTCCTAAAACTACTGTGAAGATAAAATGAGATGATGAGTACTTAGCAGAGTGCCTAGCATATAGTAAGAGCTGAAAAAAAGACAGCTAGTATCATTACTACTGATTTTTCTCTGTCTTTCAAGAAGAGCAAAAATATAAGTAGAAGAAAAAGACCTGCCTAAGGATATATAGTTATCACTGAGGACTAAAGAGTTCTTGATTTAGTTCAATAAAATTTCCAGATAAAGTCCTATTTTGGAGAAAACCAAATAAAACTTTATTATAATTTCAAAATGCAAAAAGCATTTTTGCTAAGAAGATGGAAAATTACTGCCTGCTTCTGATTATCTGTGCCAGAGAAACAGCTTATTGGTGCAGATAATCAAAATCAACAAATAATCTAACCAGCTGGACCAGGGCTCAACACTTACTCCCTAAGTCAGGAAAATCTGCCATGGCACCAACTCCAACAGTTAAAAGAGGAATCTCTTGCCAGAAATGCCATACTCCCACTGGCAGGGTAACCCTTTGCCTCACCCAACTAGGTCAAGGCTGCTTCCTTGGCTGTATGTAGTGGTTCAGGGATTAAAGACCAACAACATTCGTAGGCCAATTGTACGCTACTCTCAAAGTACACTATTAACCTGCAATGTACAATGCAGTTTGATATGGCCATCTTTTGGCTAACCAGGCAAAGACGAGTCCAGATAGCTTTACACTGTACCAAAAGATACACTTCAAGTCATGAATGTAACCACAGGAATAACTAAAAGTAGAAACTGTTAAAAGTGGCTACCTCAGGAGAATAGTACCAAGGATGGGATGTGGAGAAAGGGAGACTCATTACTGTTCATTTATAATCTGTAATGTACCAAATTTTCTTATTAATCATGGTAAACTTTATTATAATTATTTATTAGATTTTCTTATCAAAGTAATGTGCCTAATTTAAGTCAGATAGTACACCCATCTCCAAGCCTTATCCTCAATGGCACACAGTATCCACCCTTGATACTTATCTTCATACATTTAAGTAACAGACTTATAATGCTATCCCTTGACTTTGCTACATTAGACATCATCTACTGACTTCCTATATTAAAAAAGGTAGTGATTTAGCTCTCTTATACCACCCAATATACCTACCTCATCCTCCCATATAACAATTTTGGTTAAATCATTAGTCAGTAGTTCATTCGCATTATAATGATTATAGAAATATTATTCACTACTGAGACAAGCATTATTCTGCTTAAATTAATTTTCTTGTAAAACATTTTATTATTTATGTAGAATTAATTGCTTGCTTTTTAATAGTTATTTTTCTAGGTAAGTAACATTTTTCCCCAAATGTTCAAACAGGTCACTCAAATACCCATCAATAAAATTTTTTCAAATAATGAAACATATCAGATAAATCATCAGTTCTGTTAAATTATTTTCCTAGATATATCCTTCTTGGTGACTTATGTCTGGCCTGGTTGATCTCTGTCTCGGGTTAAGCCTTACCCATGCTCCTATTAGAGTTTCCTATTTTCTGGGTTTTAAGTCATCCTGTTTTACAGTTTACTCCCTTTTTTGGTTGAAATACATTCTCCAGCTAACTTTCAAAAGAAAGGTTACATGAATAACACATTTTCAAAAAGTATCTGTATGCCTGAAAATGTTGTTATTCTATACATACACTTGATAATTTGGCTAGGTATGAATATCTAGGCTGAAATTAATTTTCATTCAGGATTTTTAAGGGATTACTCCACTGTCTTCAAGATTGTAATATTACAATTTAAAAGCCCTATGCCATTCTGATTCCTAATACTTGGTCTATGATTTGCTTTTTTGTTTCTGAAAGCTTTTATAATAATTTTTTTCCCTGGAACTTTGAAATTTTACAATGTTAGACTTTGGGATGGGCCTTTTTTCATGCATTGTGCTGGGTTTTCAGTAGGCCCTTTTCAATCTGGAGGTTTGTTTTCTTTAGTTTGAAGAAATTTTCTTGTACTATTCTTTTAAAATATTTTGATGCTATATATTTTAATAATTCCTCTTCCTGGAACTCCTGGACATTGGTTTTTGGCTCTGTTGAATTGATCATCTAATTTTCTTATTTATTTTCTCTATTTGTTTTCTGATTCTAACTTCTGAGATAGTCCCTTGACTTCATGTTCCAAAAATTCTATTGAATTTAAGAAAAAAATTTTAGCACAGTTTTCATTTCCATGAGCTAT